TGTGTGTGTGTGTGTGTGTGTGTGTGTGTGTGTGTGTGTGTGTGTGTGTGTGCGTGTGTGCGTTTATGTGTGTGAAGGGGGGGGGGGTATGTGGACACAGAGATAAGGTGGCACTCTGGAAAGGTTTTTGAGCGGACAGAGTATCTGTCAGCCCAGTGATGTTGTTGAGACAGGGCAGAATGATGCACAAACACACATTCAGCAGTAAAACACACACACGCGCACACACACACAGAATCCACGCAGCTGCAAGGGGTCTGAAATGGACGAGGGGCGAGATGTCGAGGGATCACAGCGACGCGGTAGAGAAGTTGAAGACAGAAGAAGGGAGAATAGCGGATGTAAAACGCTGAGCGTTAGAGCAGTGGGATGAGAGCAGAGAACAGTGGCAGAGAAAAGGAAGTCAGCCCGCAGGGAGGTGAAACTGACAACCTTGAGATAATCTGTGGGACGGGCAGAGGGAGAAAAATAACCTTATCAGGGCAGGAAAGCAGAAGGCACACTGAGCAGGGAGAGGATATGAAAACAGAGGGGGAGGCATGGAAACAGAGCGGGAGAGGAAAAATAAAACAAGAGTAATCGGAAGAAGGGAAGAGTTTAAAATCCACTGAAAGAAGCGGAGGAGTAAATGCGGATTCTTTTATTCACCGAAGCCGATGAGGCCGAGGGTTTCGCCACGGATGCGGGCGGCACCGGAGGCCACCTCGCGAATCTGCTCCACGCTCTGGACACGCGTGCCTTCCCGGAGAGCCTGGTAGAGCCAGGTGTTTCGCCTGTAAAGGTTGAGGATGTGGCACAGGGTGGAGTCCGCTGTCTCCTCCACAGCCGCCGAGGGAATGTTACACACAGCGATTCCTAAAGAGAGAGAGACAGAGGGACAAAGACGAAGAAAAGGGAAGAGACAAAAATATCAATATTGTAATTCAAATTTTTTGAAACATGTCATTTTCTTATTAAATAATTAGGATACTGGGCTTTGTTTGTTTGTTAGTTAGCAGCATAACACAAAAACTACAGAATGGATTTCCATGAAACTTAAGGATGTGATATATATAAGAAATAATAGAGATCTTTATGAAACAAAATGTGCAGAGTGCTAACATCTATAAAGAGATTTAATGAGGGAAACTGTACGGTAATAAATATTCTCTTCAACTTTATCAGAGAATGGATATTTATGCGAAATATCCATTCTCTGGATACAAAGACAAGAGTTAAATATGTTTAGTAAGTGATTGATTTTATGTTTGAAACTGAATGAATTTGATTAATTGTTCAAAATTTCTCTCAATATTTATCACATTGATTCTCCTCAAGAGAGTTTAACCACAGAAAACCGAGGCTTTCATAATGCAATTGGGTTTTTGTTATTACAGCTTTCACATAAAACAATAACAAGACATTGTGAAACCATTAAAATATGATCCTATTAAAAGTCAAGGTAAGATATATTTAATTATTGCAGAGTCTAATTCTATGTTAACTTGTGAATGTGTAAATGTCGCAACTTTCAGACACTTTCAGAAAACTTCTCCTCCAGTGCATTGGCTCATAATTGTGTTGCATTCAGGGAACTCAAACCTCCTGACCCTGTGGTATTACCTTGCTTATCTTCCACAACACAAAGGTTTTTTTTTTATATTTATTTATTTCACTGCCACACTTAAGCACTTCTGCCTGCCCTCGCTCTCCTCTAATGTCCTCATCCTCACCCTGTATCTCACAGTAACAGCACAGCCGCGTCTGGACAGCAAAATAATAATTAAAAAAACAGAGTCCGCTCAATCAATGGCCCCTTTTCTTCTCCCCCCCGAAGAACCGCAGTCATATCAGCGCCGCCTTCTCCAGCCGCGATAGCTTTTGACTCCTGCGTTGCGAGGCAAAGCGCCTTTGGTGAGTGGGTGGCGGTTAGACGCAGTATCTCGTATTGGCAGGGAAATGGCAGCTTTGTCAAGTGTAAGGGCTGTTTGAGCCACCAGCCAGCAGATAGACGTTCAGAGGAAAGACCTAACTCTCCTCTCGCTCTGTTTTTCCTGGTTTTCTGTCTCTTTGAACGTTCTGGCTCACAGTGGGACGTCCACCATTCACTCTTTAATTCAGCCTTTGATACCACTCTTAAAATACATATTGTATGGAAAAAGGGAGGAAGCGGTAAACACGTTCAGAGCAGCCCGACTGTGAGCGAAATCACTGTCTACTGTGTGATCTCATTTCGACCTCTAAAGGCAACGCTCACCTTCAGCCAACAACCGCCATTTTAATCCTGCATGTTGCAGGTATTGTATGTATTGTAAGAAATACTCATGAGATAAGAGAAAACAAATGAAACAAAAAATGCCTAAATGTAAAGGGACTATGGGGTCATTCACTGATTTGGTCATGGGAAACATATGGAACCAAAATTTCCTGTGTCTTGGATCCTAATTAAAGGAGATGTGGGCTAATGAACTTCAAACTCTTGGGTCTGTGACTGATCTCTGTCAATATAGTTTGATTACTGCTCATGTTTTAGCAGTGAAGAGTTCGTACCCAGCTCTCCAGCAGCCTTGATGTCGATGTTGTCGTAGCCGCTGCCGATGCGGATGATGATGCGCAGAGCTTTGAACTTTTCCAGATCCTCTCTGGTCAGGGTGATGGTGTGGTACATCATGGCTCCCACCGCCTCATTGAGCACCTGCACACACGCACATTCAAAAAAAGTTTGATCCAGTTATTCATACAGACCGTGGAACATGGCTACCAGCTCATCTGTGGTCATAATGACCCATGACAATCACAAGATCACATTCCTCCATGAGTGCCATGAAAATCACATGTCTGCCATGAGTTTGGACATTTGAGCCAAATGTTTAAGATTTCACAGCCAAGAGGGTGGGGGGTGGGGGGGGTTGCAGTCATCACATGGTCACCAGCAGCACTGACACACTGTCCTGTTACAGACCGGAGCTGGAAGTGGAAACAAGTCATTACATTGTCTGGAGGGGGCCGCGTCTCTGCCTGGTCATCACAATTGCTCTCAGACCCCGAGGGTGTGTATGGACAAAGGATGTGGACAAGTGACTGCACAGAGAGGTCGTGGTGGCAGCTGATCGCTGGATAAACCTTGACAACACGTGGCGGGTCAATGATATGTTTTGTCGAACTCTGATGACCTTTTGACCCATTTTCATCCAACATTAAAGTGACAGAGCAGAACTCAAGATGACAAGCTCACTAAACTAAAAGCACTAAGCACACACGCATTGTGGTTCTACTATTGTTCGACCTGTGAATAGACTGAATATGAAGATGGACGACATGTCTGCACTTCCCCCTACTATCAAGAAATGTAGCTAAAATATCCTGGATAAGAAGAACACATGCATCCATTTTGTGCATTTCGAGCCAGAATCTGCACAGTAGCAAGATCCTGTCGATACACATGCTCGACCAATCACGAGTCAGTCTCAGACGTCAATCATGTTATTTCACCTTGTTTTATTGCATCAAATAATTGATTAAAATGGAAACATGAAGACCTGAACATACAATGTGATAAGAACTACCTAAAGATTACAGAAAACTTTGACTTTTTAGTTCGTTCCATGTCCCATTTGTTAACATGGAGGAGGTGGGACTTATGACTTGTGGCTAAAAAAACCTCAGTCTGACTTCAGTCCCCTCGATGAGGCCGTCGCTGTGAAAAACTGCTCCTCTGCCACTTGACATGGACAAGGTGACCCGGTCTGATGTGGATCTGAACTGTTCCCCCTCAGTATCAGCCGCTGTCAGCACCTACATCCCTGCCCTGCATTAGCCTTCCTGTGATTAGCAGATTAGCTCTGAATTTCCATACAGCTTTTATTGGAGCAGTGTGCTCGGCCAGGCCCTTTCAGATACTAGTTCAAGGTTAAAACACTCCTCACACTCCTCTCACAAACACACACGCACACACGCATCTCCCCCTGGGCTGAACCTGGAGGTCTGGTGTTGTTTTTGAGCTGGAGGCGTCTTTAAGTGCGGCAGAGAAATCGTCTGAATGTAGTTTACTTCAATGGAAACTCTGACCTAATCTATACCCCCACCCTGACTCTCCACTGTAACTAAAGCCTCGCTGCTTTCATCGTTTCTATCATTTCTGATGACGCCCGGGTTTGGCAGCAAGACCTTCCCTTTTTGGCCCGGGCGAGCGTGAGAGACAGAGAGAGACACAACTTAGTGGTACTCATCCTGTGCAGTGTGTGTGTGTGTGTGTGGTTTGCTGCAGAGAGATTTTATGGCTATGAAATCATCCCACCAGTGAGCAGAGTGGATGTACTGGACGTGAGAGCTGGTTGTAACAGTGAGAACAGACTTTCTCCACCTGGCAGAGAGGATCTGCGGTTTTTACAGGGTTTTTTTTTTAGCATGCAGCACTTTTCAAAGGGTGATGTGGTCGTAGTTACAGGACTACACGATACAGTATGTTACAAAGAGAAAGCTTGGATCCTTCATTGATCATAACTTTTAAATCCTCTTCGGCAGTAAAGCACAAATGTGGATAAAGACTGTAAAAATGAATGAATGAGGCTAACATGAGGCTTAAATAATAATAAAACAGCAAGTGAAAAAGGACAAGTTTGATATTTTGGGATGATAAAACCAGAGTCTGTCCAGTAATGATGTTATTGAAAGAAATAGAAGCGGATGAAGAAGAGACAGAAGAGGTGGATGATGAAGTAATAGATTAATTGGAAAAATTGGAGGAAGAATGATAAAAAAAGGGAAACAAGTGGATGAAGAAGAGATAGATGAAAAAGAAGGAGGAAGAAGAAGGAGGAAGAAGCAGATGGAGTGGAAGAAGAAGAAGATATGAAAGAAATGGAAAAAGTAGAGATAGAGGAAGAGGAAGAAGAAGAGAAAGAAGAAAAGGAAGAAGACATCGGAGAAGAAAAAGAGGCAGTAGAATCCTCTTTTAATTGTCGAATTATGTTTTGACACACAGGAACTTCCCATCTTTCTTTGTGGCGGTGAGAATTTAAAAAAATAATAATTCCTTTAACGAGTGCTGAGACAATTAGTGGAATTACTGATTATTTGATCAAGAGAAAATTAATAGTCAAACACGGGGTTTAGATGCCAAACCTTCACGAGTTCCAGCTTTTAAAATGTGCGGATTTGCTTCTATTATCTCAGTTGTACGACAGTAAAGTGAATATCTTTGTGTTTTGATTTGTAGCTCGGGCAAAATAAACGATGTAATTTAGTTCAGTGAATTGAAGAAAATCCCTGTGGATCATTTGCTTCCGTGATTATTTCAGCCCTCAGCTTAACACCACAATTGGATGAACGGCATTCAACAGCAGTGAACAGAGTGTTAGGCCAGTGTTGACACTGAGCCATATGGGCTACCATCCAACTCCTACAAGCCACATGTGACTCTGAGGCTCGACGACTGTGAGAAAGACGAGGGATCATCGACCTTGGATGATGATGATGATGATGATGATGATGTTGGGGCGAAGGTGCTGCGTGCAGGATTTAAAGTGATATTGTATCTCTTGATCAGTACTGGCCTGCGTGTCCTTCTTTCACCCGAAAAAAAGAGCAGAGCAGGTGGCAGCTTCGACATAACCTCGCGCCACTTTCATACTCCGCCCTCGACCAGACTTTCCTGTAAGTTTCTGTATCTGTGGCTGAAGGAGAGGTTGGCAGCTGGTGCCTGCCCTCACAACATCGCAACCGAGAATCATCAGCGAGTGCGTCTACGCATCCAGGAAAGCAGAGATTGGACATTTTCAATCTACATCGCGCCTGTGGGTATCTAGGCAGCGAGTTATTACAGTGAACTGCTGAATACGCTGGCGAGGTGAACATTACAATCATGTTTTTCCTGATAAGGCAGTGTTAAAACAAACAAAAAGCTCCCCGCTCCCCCCTCTCTCCACGACGCCCGAGGTCTTTGATTGAATTGATCTCTATGCAAATGCATCATTTTTTAATATGTCCCATTTTCATAAAAACAGCGAGAAGAAAGATGTGGCGGCTTCTCGCTCTCGTCTGCAGATGGAGAGATAGCACTTGGGCGATACCCATCTCTTTGGCCATGTATTGTTTTGCAGCCATGGTGCAGCATAAAAAGCAATAAAGAGCCTCTACAAGCCAATGTAATTACACTGCATCCCCGCCGTACAAGAATCTCTATTAGAACAATGGCACTGATACAAGCACAGCGCTCTGTGGCACAAAGTGACATTAAATCATAATGAAGCCACTGTATTTTAACTGGCAATTGCATATGGGGCCAATATAACACATAACACATATCGGCGCTGTGATAGGAATAAGGTGGCAGGTTCCATCTCTCCATCAACTCTCTGCAGTTGTAAAGTGTGTATGTGTGTGTGTGCATGTGAACGTGTGTGTTTCCTACCTTCTCGTGTATCTCCTGTGTGGACTGAGCGTCGCAAAACGCAACAGTTGCCAAGTCTTTCAGGATGGGCATCTCCACGGTGCAGTCACGCCCATCCAGCAGCGCCACCAGGGGGCGCGGATGCATTGGCCCGTTCATGATTTGGGGCCGAATACCTGGAGACAGATGAAGGAAAAAAAGAAAAATTATTTTCATATACAAGGGAATATTTTTTCATAAACTTTGCTTTCAGACATTTGGGTAAAATGACCCTTTTTACATACAATAAGTCACTCCAGCTGTGAGGGGGGTCTCTCAATCAAAACAATATCTAGTTTGATGATAAAGCCGTGGGTAAAGCAGATATGATGCAAACAAAATGAAACGTCTTTATACTTAAAATTGGGTTTTAATACTATTGGAAACATTTTAGATAATGTAAGAACACAAGTCAACAAAATAAATAAGATAGGTCTAATCATTTTTAGACATTTTAAATGTTACATATTAATTCTATAAGTGTTTTTTTTTCTTATTCCATTGAAATGATCATGAAATGACGTTGTCCAACTGGCTGGAGTCAATTCATCGCTACTTTCTTACAAGGAAAAAATACAGTAATCATCTGCTCCGTGTGTGTGTGTGTGTGTGTGCATATAACAGCACTTGTGTGTGCACATGTTCTGATTGCAATATAGCAGGAAGCAGGGCTTCTCCCAACTAACAAGTGTTGCTCAATAAATCAATGCACCTACTCAAGACTGGATTAGACCACAGCCTCACTGACAGGAATCCTCTCCTGTCGAGCTCTCACACACATGTGAACATAAGAGCAGACTATATACAGTATGAAGGTGCTGCACATACATGCACTCAATCATAGCAAGAGGAGAATATTCCCTTGTGTTCACGTACGACAACTGCACAGCAACATGCACACACTTCGCTTGTTCTCATTTCTCAGTTCAAAGGAGAGGATCCTACATTTGCTCCACCGAGTGCAACCAGCAGCTGTGGAATAGAGGAAAAAAAAAGAGAAAAGGCTGCACCTTTAGAAATGAGTTTCACTGCTGCCCTGCCTCAAAAGAGCCATGTATCATTGAAATGGAGAGCGCTGGAGAAAAATGCTACAAGCCTGAAACAAACCCACAGCCAAATCACATCTGCACTTCAGTGCACTTCACAAAAGTGCACGTTGTAATTCTGGTTTTTGTCTCCGCTCAAACTCATTCTCCTTCCCACTCGCCACTTTTCTCACTTAGAGTGAAGAGAGCCGAGGAGAGCCGAGCTCCCCGGCGGCCTGACCTTCTCACATATCCGACTGAAACAGACGTGTCACCTTGAGCAGACAGACAATTACCAGTCCTGCTTCATACAATGTTAACAAGTGAGGAGCATCAATATTCATGCTGAGGAGCGGAGTGCGGCTCTGACACTAGCATGTGGATAGATGGACCTGATAAGGAGAGCAACATTTCCCCACTGAGTGCCGTCGCCCTGGCACTGCTCAGGTCGTGATCTTCACATGCACTCGCCAGCTCTGGATCTGTCCAAGCTGACAAAACAGGCCAAAGAGTCGCCAGAGATTTCCCTACGGATGTTTCTCTGTGATTTCATGACATCACTTTTCTTATCTGGTGTTTACACTCTCTCCTCTGGTTTGCTTCTAAGATGCATATCTGGACTCCAAAGCGTGACCTCACTCTGTGCATGCGTGTGTGTGTGGCGTGCAGGTGTGTGCGTTGGTGTACTCTTAAAAAGTTATCCCAGGGATAAGGATGACGTCAGGGCTCGAGATAAGTAGGATGGGGGGGGTGAGAGGAGGGCTCGTTAGAGACACGCTCCATGGGATTACGGCAGCAGAGGAGGCTGATTAGGGCAGATAAAGGTGAGATTATGAGATGAGAAAGTTGTGTGTGTGTGTGTGTGTGTGTGTGGCCGTTGCACAAACAGCCTGAAACCCACGGCGGGGGAGACAAACAGGTGGGAGGGGGAGAGAGACAGAGAGGAGTGAAATTAAAATGTACAACGAGCGTACATAAAAACAGACTAAACACTGCCTGTTAGCCTGAAAC